CAAGGTGTCTCGTGCAGGCAGACTCTCCCCCGCAAGGACCACATGAGGCTCTGCCCAGCTGACACTGTCCTCAGCCAGCCAGCTGGCAGCCACATGGTGTCACTCCCTGGGCTCTGGGCCACAGGACAGCCACCCGCTGAGTCTCTGAACCGGCCCTTTCATTCAGTCCCTCCCCCTCAGCCATACCCCACTTCGCTTCATCTGCCTCTGTAATAAGCATCCTTGCCATACCTGGGAGAGACTAAACCCTTCTCTGTCCCCAGGCATCTCAGTTGTGACCTCCCAGATGGCCTTGTCCCCTTCCAAGGCCCCCGAGTCTGCTCCTCCAACTCTCCCTCTCAGCTGGTGGCATGCACCTGCCAACAGGGACAGCAGGTTTCATCCGTCTTCTCTTCTGCTACACCCAGTGGGCCTGCAGGGCCTGCCAGTTCTCCACCCGAGTCTCTCTTGACAAAGTTTACTATCAAGTTCCTTCATCTTTCTGGGGTGTCGACGTCTCTTGTCTGGTCCCTTAGTTCCAATGGCCCCTGGAGGGTCTCCTCCTTCAGTTGGCCTCCCGATTTTCCAGCATTCACATTCTAGTGCAGAAAATAGACCTTTGCAAACCACCAGCCAGATGTGGGAAGTAGTCAGACTGTCCCTGCCATACGAAGGGAGGAAAGCATGCCACAAAGGCACACAATGCTGGAGATCAGGGCTTGCTGGCTCCCTGGGAGAGGCTGGCCTCTCCTCAAGGAGGCGACTTTTGGGCTAAGACCTGCAGGAGGAGAAGGAGCTGGTCTTTGGATGGCACGTGGGCAGGAAATCATTCCAGGCAGAGGCAACAGCTTGTGCCCCGGCCTCGTGATTGTGTAGAGAGGCATATGCAGGAGCAGAAGGTTGCAAGCAGGGGTGGCAGGAGGATCGGGGTGGGCCTGGGAGAGGGGTCTGCAGAAACTAATCTCACTGGGTCCTCCAGGTCATGGTTAGGGATTCAAATTTCCTCTAATGGCGTGGGGCCACTAGTGCGTGCAGGGGCTTAGCTCCATGATCTGAATTCCATTCTGGCTGCCCTCTGCATGGAGGGGAAACCAGAGCTGAGTGAGAAGGGACAAGGATAATGCTATTCGATAAATCGAGAAGGACACCATGGGTCCCTGAACTACGGCAAAAGGAGTGGGAGAGAGTCCAAGGTTCCTTGGGATGGAGAATGCCCAGCCTCAGTGATTACTGTACAAGAGAATCTCCATCGTGAGTGCTTTGGAGGCAAGGATTAGGGTTTTTATTCTTCTCTGCACCTGCAGGCCCTAGGGAGGCTGGGCCCCAAGAGCCAAAATGTTTGGTGCACAAATAAGCGCTAGTGAGATTTTGGTTTAGGTTTGTATATGCACAGGCCACTCCCGACCCTCACCCCACTGTCACCAGGTACCAGGTGAGCTGATATTCCCCTGTCCCATACTAGGGAATTGTTACTCGGGTAACAACTGGGACTCTTCAACCTTATTGCAACTCTAGGAATGTTCAGAGGATGGGGTTGGGAGATGAGCCCTTCATAGTTAAACCTGGGGCCTCACACCTGCTGGGGCGGGCCTGGTCTGTAACCACGAGGTGGCCCTGCTGGCTTTCCACAGGTGAAAGCACTCCACAGTCTTGGCTGTTGGTGCCATGTGTGTGCCGGCGCCCCAGGGTTTTGTGTCTAAGGGTGCTGCTTTAGAGCAACCTGATTCTCCTACGTTCAGGTTTGCATTTTTCTGACTGGCTGACAGGCTTTGGGAGGGTGGGCTCTGTGATGGGGACAATTCAGCTGCAGAGTGAGGAAGTCAGAGAAAACAAGCCTTGTTGCCACCACGGCCTTGCTGAGCAGCCACCAGTGGTGTTGTGCCCTCATCTGTAAAATGGGTACAGTCAAAGCCTCAGGTGCTGTTGATCTGCACTGTGCAGGCCAAACAGTAATGTGTCCTGTAAACAAGGACTGGGAGTCGGGCTTCTCCTTATCTCCAGGGAAGGGCACCAGCAGGTCACAGGGTGAGGTTCGTCTTCCCCCAGAACCCCAGAGCTTGTAACCATCAATGTCTCAGGCCCAGGACACAGCACAGAACCTGGCACCCAGTCAGTACTCAGGATACCAAATATGGAATCAATATATGGCACAGCACGTCAGGTTCAGTAAGCACTTCCTGTGCACCTACTGTGTGCTTGGTCTCCAACCTTGTCCTTGCCTCAAGAGAGTTCCCAACCAAGACTGTTTCTGTTCCTTCTGAATCCCTCCCCAGTCCTTCAAGGGGGAAGCTGTCTGCTTGGGACCCAGGTAAAAACAACATCCTGCTAAAAGCAAGTCTTCCCAGAACCTAGAGAGTCCAGCCGCACTGGCAGCTTTGTCCAGGCTGCTCCGTCACGTACCCGGCAGGTTTGGCATCAAGGCTTCCTGTGGGCCCAAACCTGGTCACAGAACAGACTGGAGCTGGGCCTCTCACGCTGGACTCTGTGGCTTATGCCCCGGGGTACCCAAGTCAAAGAGAAACATGATTCAGCTGCTGGGGCCATCGATTTTACTCAGGGATGTAGAAAGGGAGAAGTTCTGAATGTGCACGGGAGCTGGCCGAGGGAGCGAGGCCGCCCCTCCATGTGAGCCAGGGCTTGCTCTAGAGTCAGATGGAACGCGTACTCGAGCACATGGGATGAAGCCTGAGTCTAATAAAAGCTGTGCCTGAGATGGCAGCAGCAGGCCACCACCGGGCCACCACCGGGCCACCACCTGCTGCCCTCAACCTACTTAGCCCTTTGTGCCAGCAGGGCTGCCCCTGGGAACACACCCAAGGCTCGCTGGCTGGCTGTGCTCTGAGTAAGGGTGCACGTCATCCTTTTGCATGCCTGTCCCTCCTATGGCCCATTGCTAGCACCACTCAGTGCCCAAGCCAAGAGTTGGACGATTGCGATTCGCTGTAGCTCCTTTTCAGGAATTCTTGGGCCCTGGGCGAACTCTGGTTCTGGCTCTGCCCTGACTTCCTCTGTGATGTCGGGTAATTCCCTTGCCTTCTCTGGCCCTCAGGTTCCCTCTCTGTAAATGGGGAGGATGGACTGTCCAGTCTTTGAGCTTCCTTTCAGCTTTAATATCCAGTGACCTAAACAACCCTATCCAGGAGCTAGAATTCAGATCCCACTATGATTTACCTTGATCTGTGAGCAACTTTCATACATGTTATTTAACTTGGTGTTCTCAACTCTCCAGAAAGATCCACGGTATTATTTCCATTTTGTAGATTATAATAGAGGCTCAGAGACATTTAGCGAGTAAACTGAGGCCACACAGCCAGGATATTGTAGAGCTAAGATTCATCCTCAGGCCTGGGAACACATACTGGGAACCTCACTGTTGTGGCTTTCCCCACTCCCCCCTCCCCCCC